CACATGTAGAAATATAAAGCGTGAGCTGTGCACAAAGTGTTTAGAGAACATTTAAGCCATTTATATCCACAAGCACACACTTGCAGACTCCCACACTCTCGCTACTTCACTCTCTATTCCCATCTTATGCACACACACCCGCACACATTAGTTTGGGAAGCAGGTGTGTGAGTTGGTCAAATGCCAGGACCGAATCTCCAAGTGGACACAAGGCATCATCACAACCAATGGTGCCATCTTATCCAGTTGTGTGGGCTCAAACTGCCTCAGGCACAAAAGGTGATTTGCACACAAGAAGATGCGTCTCTGTGGTCATCATAACATTTTGCACTGGAACAACAAAATAACAAGGATCTGTCTTATCACCTAAAGCAAGAGCAAAAAACAAACAACTGACTCAAACTACGATGAACTTTGGTGTTAAATAATAAAAGAAACCATTTTACAGTTTAGGAGTGAATAATGGAGAACCGAGAAACATTTTGTCTGCCCCTAAAGGTTCCATACAACTTAGATGGGACTTTATTTTGGAAAGATCTGGTCTTTAACAGGTTAAAAAGTTATCCATATCTAACTTCAGGTAGGCAATAACATGATTACATCAGGTTATTCTATTTTGTTTTATTGCCAGGCTGGAAAAGCTTTGCGAAAATGTACGTATAACCCAAGAATCGACAAAAGGTGAACATTCCTTTAACATGATAATGCCAATATGAAATCCTTTTGACCTACTTGTAAAACGTACATAAAATACTGTATATGATTCACAGAACTTTTGCACAATGGAATGAAAAGTAGCGTTCACTGACTGTACGCTGCAACTGCCAAAAATCACACAAACGCACGGTGATTCATTCGGTATCTGTTCAAAACCATAATCCTCTGCTCGCTCCACTGTCAGACATGTAGTGTTTTATTATAAAGGGATTTGTGAATGAATGACTGTAAACAGTCATGAAGCTGCCAAACAAGCTCACTGACTGGACACATTAATGGTTCTGAGCCTAATCAACCATGTGTGGGGCCTTTAAAGAAAAGGTATTCCGTCAAAACTGAACTCCTATTCTGTCGAACGTGTGTGAATCACTGCAAAGAATAGGAATGATGTCTATACTAGACGTGAGCACACAATATCAGGTAGATTCAGATTTGTTACAAAATTACCAGCATCTTTTTTCCTGAACCCAACAATCTGCTAAAAATACAACACTGAGCTGTTTTTATGATACTTCCTATCATGGTATCACATCAGCAGACTAACACAAACATTATATCCTTATGAAAAGCTAAACAAGCTCTCAGGATAGTGCTCCGTTGAGACTGGGCATTGAGTCATCTTGAGCAAACAGCGTGTTCTCGGTCACCTCAGCCAATCTTCAGTTTGAATCACACGGCTCGAGGGAAGGGGGGTAATGTTGTTGGCTGCAGGGCCTGACGTAGGAGATGGCCGTGATACCATAATCCCAAACTAGACACGGAGGGATGTTTATCTAGGCTGACTGGGTGCCTCTTGTTTCTCATTCTACACAAACATACATCCGCCGATCCGAAAATATAAACGATTGACACTTTTATTTTGCTTGACCGAGTTGTTTGCATGCAAGCACAATGAGCAATAAGTGGGTCAAATGCTTGCCTCTATTTAAGGATTTTAAAAGCATTATTTAGTCACATACACACTTTGAGTCAACTGCATGGTTTATTTTAGACAACAAAATGTTCAACATCTCAAAAAAATACTGCAAATTTAACAAGTCATTTGTGTCGTGGTTTGAAGGGGAGATGGGTCCAGGAATGCAAACGAACATGAGGAATATTTTACAGCCTAAAAATGTAAGAATCTAACAGAAAACAAAAGGCTGGCGTGGCAGCAAATGCACAAAAAAGGAAACAAAGGGGCGGAACGAAGACCTAGACAGGGCAAGAAGCACAATGCCAGACTGCCGATGAACTGGGAGAACAAGCAAAAGAAGGCTGGGGCTGATGAGGTTAGTGGAGGCAGTGTGACTAATGATTATGAAGAACAGGTGTGAGTGGGAGGGGCAAGACTGAGAAGGAATGAACTGGTGGCACAGGAGACACATGGGAAAAATAACACAAAACACAGAAAATAAACATGATAACCAAAAAGAAATAAACCTAAACTAAAAAAAAAAAACTACCCCAAAATAGCACAAAAAGTGAATAAATAATGTAGCAGGTAACAATGTACAAAGTAACTAAAACATATGGTGCTAAATTGAATAAGTTGACTCCAGAACTAAAACAATGCCCATAGACTCTCAGTAAATGCCACATAGCTTACATGCTACTCTATAATATATCTTTTTTCAGTTCAGTTTAGTTCAGTTCAGTTTATTAAGCACCATCTCACAAGAAAAGTCACAAAATCCTATGATTTGGGACAACTGTCGTGAGCTGAAAATGTCCCCGTAAAAGTGAGAAACTGACGACGTTTCAAAAGCTTTGAGCCATGAGGAAAGTACAGCACCCACTGAAAACACATCAGTGACTTCACGTGTCAAAGTGTGTCTAAGCTCTCTGTTGTGGCAAAAACTTCTTTCTTAAATGTTGTTTAAATTTGTTACAACCCTCAGTAATATTAAATAAAAATAAATGTTCTACATATGAAAATATTATTTACTCCTGATCCAGTAGTAGTTCAGCAGATAGAATGCAGGACTCTGAGAGAAAAAGTAGAAAACATCATTTAGAACTGCACACAACAACACAACAAAACTGATTCTTCCTCCAACAGCTTACTCCAAAGTGGAACAAACCAGTTCTGCTTGTGATTAGATGGTCTCTTTGGTACGCCCTTCCTCCATTACCGGCCCTCTTCCTTGTTGACAGTCTTGTCAAACTGGTTGAAAACAAGAAAGTCCATGTACCAAAGAGACCATCTAATCACAAGCAGAACTGGTTTGTTCCACTTTGGAGTAAGCTGCTGGAGGAAGAATCAGTTTTGTTGTGTGTTTCCTAGACTGATGAAGCCTTCTGGATCGAAGGTGAAACATTTCAGCACAAAAAAAGAACCTGTCCAGATGACCTGACTGAAAAATGTTGGATTTTATATCTGGATTATTGAGCATGGACTTTCTTGTTTTCAACCAGTTTGACATACAGCAATTTATATTCCCAGGCAGTCTCCCATCCAAGTACTAACCAGGGCTGACCCTGCTTAGCTTCCCAGATCAGATAAGAGGCGTATTCAGGTGGTACAGCCATAAACAAGGAGCTCAGTCACAAACGGTCCTTTTAAAGGATCTTAGCAATCAAAAACGTTAAATTTATGCAACCGGAAGTTGCAACATATACAAAACACACAAAACAAAGCACAACTAGCCTTAAGCATTAACCTTTAATTTAACCATAGTTAACCTCTGACTGCAACGTGCTCATAATGCCAAACTCTGACAATGTTGTCGGAGGAAAGGGGGGGGGGTTGCTCCTACAGGTAAGGGGCGTTTACCTTCGGGACAAATTGAGGTCACCAACTGGTCAGTTGCTAATGAGCGTACAGGATTGATTGACAGGTGGTGTTGAGGATTTGACTCGTGCCAAAAAATAGATCATAGTTTTCTAAGGTTTGAGAACTGAGTTTCCTTAAAATATCCTAATGATGGTTTCTTAATTTTTCATGGGTGCTGAGTTAAAATTTAGGGGTGCTTGAGCACCCCCCAAAAAGAAGCTAAAATCGCCACTGCAAAGGACTATGGCAAACAGATAAAAAGTGAAAATACCTAGCTCTAAAACTGAAAAAACATCACCAAGAATTTAGTCCCCACAGTGGACAGATGTGTTTTGATAGAAACTGCATTCCTCACATGGAAACATCTTTACAACAACATCAAACGTCGTTTCCTGAATCAGCGTTCCCAAAACAATACAGAGTTACAGACATGTCAAACAAGGAGCTATTTCAATAAAACAATTCAGTGTGTGTGTGTGCTTCTTTACACACAGATGTGTTATGAAGTGTATTTTTACCTGCATTGACACCTAAAACCACAAGTCCCAAGCAGGTGAATTTACATATTTAGTAGCAGGTGATGTAAGAAAGGTGAGCTGCTGCTATTTAAGCTCTTTTATGACAGATTAATAACAGACTGAACTTTATCTTTTCAATCAATCAATAATAATTAGAATACTTTAATGTATTCACCCTTATTATTCATCAGATCCCAGCAGCTGGGGGCTGAATCCATCCATTACATGTAGTTTCATCACACCTGTAAGCTTTAAAAGACATTACTGAATGTTTCCCAACTTCTGTTTGTCTTTGTTGGGTGATTATTCCAAGACATGCCTCTACCCACAAACTGTGCCCCATCTAGCCGTTAGTTATGCCTGTCACAATTCCCAACACCAAAACCAAACATACCTCATTTGTTTCACTGACAAGACCTCCATTACCTTCTACGTCTCTGTCGTTTCTCATCTCCTTTTCAATCTAATGGCTTCCGCAGTTTGCTTATAACGCACCCACTGATGCGTCTGCCAGTGTTCAGCATCACACTACCTCCAGTATTCATGGTACGTTCCTTATGAGCTGTATTTTTCACCAGAGCTCTGCTTTACCGGGTTTTTCTGCCAAAGACAGTGAAGACTGCAAGAACAGGTGATGGGTGGTTTGCCCGTACGTCAAACAACACTGACAGCAAAGTGCTAAATGTGACAATAAAACAAGCAACTGTTCTTTTGTGGCAGTAAGAAAACCATAAAGACTGCATCAGTTATGAAACGGGATTTTTGTCGAAACCTGTGGAGAAACTTCTATCTCTGTTGCAGTTCTCACCCACACATTAAACTGGAATTTGTGCTTTGGCTTAGCGGGAAGCAGAAATTTCCAGCAATGAAATATTGCAAGTGAACTACTGTAAATAAAGTAATATAAAGAAGTATTTGAATATAAATTAAATATGTTAAAGCTGGCTGTTTAATGTGATTTCAAAAAAGCTGGCGTGTGAGCTTATTAAAACCACGAAGAGCTCACTTACTTGCAGAGGGTGTTTCGGCGTGAACAGGAGGTGTCGAAGGGATGAAAGAGGGGAAGAAGAAGGACCGTAAAGATCGCTCAGAGTGAAGGGGCGACCGCTGCGTGGGCAGGTTCTCACAGCTCCCCACACTGCTGTGGATCTTAAGGTTCAAGGGTTTTGTCTTCTTCTTGGCTCTGTGGGGAAATTGGACAAGAAATGAGATTGAGAGATTTAAAAATAAAAGGATGATTGCAAGAATAGTAGAATTTCCTGAGGTTTTAAAAAGTCGTGCAATAAACGTAATTACTTTTTTATGCCAAAAGACGTCCATTTACAAGCAATAGAAATCATTTGGTATGGTTGGTACTGTCAATAATATATTTATTCACATATCTCAGCTCCTCCCAGTTATGCAACATGAGCCTAAGCAATACAGCAAGTTCCTTTTTGGCTCTTCGTGGGGTAGAAAATTTATTTTGGATTAGGCCAATAAAGAAAAAGATGCATTAAAGTGGAGATTGATAATTTCAGTGGAATTTCTGAACAGAACATACGGTCAGCAACTAAGATGAACACACTTTTATTTTGCAACTTTGCGTTTTCCCTCCAATTTGATCATTTTTATTTTATCATTTTCATCACAAATAACTACAATTCTGCAGACTTGACCAACACTCTGGATGAAATTGTAGTTTGACTCATGGGCACAAAATTCACCCTTTACACAAAAACGCAAAACACAAGCATACATAAATATGATGCTAAAGAAATCGCCAGTGTCAAAAGACTCGTTTATTTTAGGCAGCGATATGGGATCAATGATTCAGCTCCAAGCTGAGCTGAGATGGGTTACAATATTTATTTCTCAACATTTGACTGGAGCTTAATCTGTTCTTAATCTGGCATAAGCACATCAGTTAAGTAAAATGGGACTTTTTTGCAGTTTTCACCCCCATTGAGCATCCATCAGATTTTTTTTTTATTAACTTTTTATGTCAAATTGCAATAAACTTGATTTTGTTATAATCTTTTTGGAATGTGTGTCATTTCAAAGTTGAACCTAATCTCAATCTATTTATCAACTTCTAACATTTGTTTTAATCCAATTATAGTAGTCCCTCATTTATCACGGGGGATCCATAGAATGAAGCCCCACGATAAGTGAAAAACCACAAAGTAGGAATAGTAGTACAAGTAGTAAATAGTAGTTT